ACGCCCCCCGCGGCAGGAGGAATAGAAAATCATCCACATAAACCGCCCCCAGGTGGCGGTGGCGCACCAGGAAGTGTATGGTTCGTAACAGCAAAGCAGAAAGCCTCGACCACCAATACGCCGACCACGCGGCCCCGAAGTGGTTGACCACGTATGCGTAGAATTCTCCTTCAAGTGAGAAAACCGAAAAGCCCACATCTTCAGCAGCCGTACGAATAGATTTGTGAGCCCCCTTGATGTCCACGCTGAACAACACCCACTCTTTGGGGTCCACCGCCACACCTCGCCAAGCGGCGAACCTGTTCAGCGCAGCAGTGAACAAGAAAAGCGAAGGCACCTCCGCCCGCTCAAGGAATCTGGCCGCCGGGCTCGCCCCACTGGCGCGGGAGTCGCCAATGAGCCGGTCTTCTTTTCCAGCGCACGTCACGAGCCCCAGCTTGCCAATTGCCAAGGAACCATCCGGGAATCGCTGTTGTACTGCCGACATCCCCCCTGCAATGTGTACCAAATAAGTCCACTTCTTTCTGGACTAAAGCGCGAACTTTCGCCGGCTCCTGTTCTGCAGAAATGTGATTGGAGGTGCACCAGAACAAATCGCAAGCCTCAGCCACCTCGTCACCCCATTTGCCAGAACAAGGTGGCCAAACACCAGATGCAGGGATTGGCTCCCGTACTCCCGTAGGCGCCCCGCGCCGAAGCACTTTGCACAGAGCAACATCCGGATCATCCATACGCAGAGCCAAACTTTCCAGCAGATTGAACTTGTACGGAGTGAGTTCAAAGGACTCCAATGCCCAAGCCGAATCGATACCCAAGGCTGAACAATCGGCCAATTGCATCAAATGCACCTCTGAGTCAGTGAAGAACGGATGCTCCAAGGTCTTGCCACACAGCGCGGCCGCCCGGCAGCAAGCATCTTTCGGCATGGAAGACCAAATTGCTTTGCGCACCGCAGACAATGGGTCCCGCAAAGCTCCAGGCGGAGGCACTTGCCAATCCAGAGTGCTCGACAGACCACCCCCGTCTTTCAGAAAGATGCGGTGATAATCTGCAGGAGAACCACTCTCAGGCTGCTGAGCCACCCCCGCCACGTCAGCCTGGCCCGCATCTTGATGGAAAGCCGCAGGCTGCCAGGGTGGAGCGCTACCAGCTGGCAGCGAGGGGCAGCCTGCAGGGTCTGCTGCTACCTCGCTCCCGCATTGCTCCATGATGGGAGCGAGGCAACGCCCCTAATCCTCTTTCGCCAGTTGCAAAAGCTTCGCGCACGCATGCCGCCCATGTTCAGCAGAGCCGCAATGATCACAGTGATGCTTAAACCTGCATTCGTCGCGCATAGTGCATTTGCCTTCTTGGAAGCTCCAACAAAGACCCTTGGCACGCTTCACCCCTTTGTCTTTACCCTTGCCCTTGCCTTGGCCACGACCCTTGCTAGGACTTGTAGTTTCAGCACCATACGGGGAAGGACGCCTTCCCTTCTCTGCTGGAGCTTTGAGGCGCGGCTGCAGCCACAATCGCAAACTGTCTCGCACCACAACTGCCTCATAAATAGCCCTGTCCAAATCATTGCCCTTGCTCATCAAGTCCTGCAGTTGACGGCAGAGTTCCGCATCCGCAAACTCGGCCTCTGCAAGGTTTGGGGGGCGCATCCCCACATCAGCCAACCCAACGCGATGATACAGCAACATGAACTTGTTGACAAGCATTTTGCCCGACGACAAATGGCACCAATCCAGCAACGCCCACGCCACACTGCGCAGCGACAAAACCTTCTGCACAGCGAAGGGGGGAGGAAGACACGTCAGCTTCCAAAGCGTCAACATGTCCTGTCACATCCGCCAAAAGGCCCAGGAGAGACTTCTCCTTAGAGTGGGAGCAGGACTGGCGGGAACGATCGTATTGCGCAACGCTCAAGATTTGCTTCCAAGGGATAAACTTCAACTCCCCATTCCGCTTTTGGAGCGCGATCTGCTGCAGCAATTGCTTGCAGGGCTGCCCATCCGCTTCCAAGCACTCTGATGGGTAGTCCGCCGCAAACTTCTTCCACAACTCTGCCAACTGAGCCGCATCCAGCTGCGGGCCCACTGAGAGACCCAACAAGCTCGTCCCTGCTGCATCCGAAACCACTGGCGCCTGATCACCAGCGTCATTGCATACTTTTGTGCACATAGCCAAGAGACGCCGCAAGCGGCCCGCTTCCAAGCACTGAAGCAAAGAAGGCGCACAGCCCTTATCTACCCCAGCCGCCTGCAGCACAGCATCAATCGTCTCCTCAGCCCCGCTCTGCAGAGTCCAGTGCAACTCCGCGGCAGTCGCGAAGCCCCGCGCAGCCAACTCCTCCTGAACTTTGCTACACAGCCCCACCTTTTGCAACAAGTCCTGAAATTTCTTCTTGCAGTCCATCGCGGACATCGCGCCACAAAGACAAAGGAAGGCAAGACAACCAAACAACGAAGGCCAACGCCCAAACAAACACTCCCAGCGCACTTGCTGAAAGGAAATTAGGGAGACACCTCCCACACCGAAACGACGGACGAGCGTCCTCCAGGCGACCCACGTCACCGGATCTCCCCGAGATCCAGATCTCCCACGAGATCACAGCAGACCCACGTCTGCAAGATGACCCACGTCATCACAGCAAACCCACGTTTGCAAGAGGACACTTCCTCGAAGGTGACCCACGTCACCGGATCTCCCCAGAGATCCAGATCTCCCACGAGATCTCAGCAGACCCACGTCTGCAAGATGACCCACGTCATCACCGCAAACCCACGTTTGCAAGGGGACCCCCGACCTGGAAGGTGACCCACCACCGATCTCCCTCGAGATCCCGATCTCCCTCGAGATCCCCACGACCCCACGGCCGCGCAAAATCGCGCACACACCGCCCCACTTTTTGTCACTCCGCACCCAAGAGCAAACCACATGCAGCATGGCTACAAGGTATGAATGCTCCAATGCTAGTTGACGGGTCTTCCGATCGCACCTCCCATTGTGGCTCATCCACCGACTGAGATGGGGCACACGCCCGCCGTAGCGAACCACCGGCTAGAATCACAGCGTGAAACTTGTGAGAGCGGCAATTCACCAGAAACTTTCCGCCAACAAGCTGCGCTGGGCCAGGCACCGCGTCCTCTTCGTCGTCCGCCTCCAACAGCTCGCCGCACACGCTGCTCACCGAGGACTCCGCCTCCGACTCATTCTCATCCGACTCAGACTCTGTGTCCGAAGTACCCGAGGCACAGATGTCCAGACCCAAGGGAGCCCCCCGCAGTGCCGATGGCGCCGGCGCCAGAGGTTCCTCAGGGCAAGGCTGGCGTGCACCTCTTGCTTGAGGGGTCAAGGGGCACCAACCGCCACGTATTGCCCGAGCCACCACCAGCTGCGCCCTCAGCGCAGGCAGCACGTCGTCACGCCCATACTTTTGAACCATAGCCTCACCGGCTTCGCGCGCCCGATGATGCCCCCACAAGCGGCGGCAGCGCCCATCGATGTCTAACTGCAAGCCCCAACAAAGCCCAGTCACTTTTAGACTGTGCAAAGTGTAAATGGAAACCGCATGCTCTGGGACTTTGGCCACACACACGAGCAAACGCCTCAACTGAGCTTGTGTATAAGTAAACGAGGCCCGGCCCCCAAAGGGCCCAGGGATCAGGAAATCGACCTCTCCAAGCTTTTCTCGCAGCAATTTGACAGCTGCCGTCCAATCATCATAGATACCCACCGTAAGGCAGCCCCAAGGCATAGAAGCCTTGGAGGACTTTGTCTTCCAACATCTGCAGCGCACAATACCTTGATCGAAGTCCATCTCAGGCACTGCCACGCGCTGGGCATCAGAAAAACGAAGCGCACCCCAAAGCATAACCAAGAACACCACACACATCAGTGTAGGTGGATCCAGCTGTGGACCCGAAGCCAAGGCAGCGAGCACTGCAGCCTCCATGCGCGCCACGGCATACAAAGGCAAAGGTACAGCTTCCTTGCGTTCCTTACTCTCTGCCGCATCGCCCGAACAAGCAACCACGACAGGATTTGCTAAGGTAGCCAGCAAGCGATCCCAGCCCAGCAAGGCCGCCACGAACTTCAGGGAACGCCAGGGGGCGATCGCGCTACGGTGCTTCGCCTGTACGCAATCAAAGAAATTGACCAACAAGTCTGCACGCGCGAACGGCGTCTCCAGGTCAGTGCCGTGGATGAAGTCCACCCATAATTTGAAACCCGGCAGGTGCCGCCGCAAGGTACCGGCTGCCTTTGTCCGCAAAACTCTAATCAAGCAACCCTCGGCCAACTCGCCCAAGTCTTGGAAGAACGGCGAGGAGTTCAAAAGTGGCTGCAAGTAGCCAACCCAAGTTCTTGCGAGCGCTTGCCACTGTTCTTCCTCCCAGGATTTGGCGCGGCAGCCCGGCTTGACCCAAAAACTACGGGCTACACCACTCCTAACAACATCAGCGCTCACTTCAGCGAGAACGGCCACCGCTTGCTTGGCCGCAAAGTCATCGCAACCTCTCACAGGGCCTGGCAAACCACCCTTGCACAGGCGAAGAGCTGGTTGCTTCAAGGGAAGCTCGATGCCAGCTGGTAACGGTTTCTCGCAGCCCTCAAGCAAGTATTTCTCCCTGTCCAAGCCCAAGATCGGCCTCGGCCTAGGCCTCGCCAACGCAAAAGCTGGGTAGGGCTCTACGGCCTCCCAGTGTGGCCTCGGTCGGCCTGCTCCATAGAGCGGCATGCCAACCAAGACGCCAGCAAAAGGAAAGGAAGCCCCCCCAAAAAAAAACAAAAACAAAAGCTGTGTGGCACAGCACCAAACTTTAAACCAGGGAGCAGCTGCTCCTGTTACCAGCAAGCTGTCCAAACTGACAAGGTACACATTAATGCTAGGTGGGAGAGAGGGTTGGTGTTCCTGCCTACCCCGACCAACCGCGAACACCGGTACCACGGTCTGCCAACCTAAACACCCACCATTCGCAAAGGACTCATCATGCTCTTTTGCCCTGGCACGCTCCTCAGTCTACCGCAGTCAGGCCATCCATTCGGCACGCTCCTCGCGCCCCAGGCCACCTGTCGGAACAGCAGGAAGTGGCCCTTTCCAAATGCAAACTCCGAAAATACTGCTGAAGACTGCTGAATCACATGCAAACATCAATGAGAGGGGTCACCTTCTGACAACTGCGGGAACCTGAAAATTGCTTCGCGGAGTGGATGTTCCTCCAAAACACCGCCGCTACGGTCCTTTCATGTCCTTTCATCTGATGCCCTCTTCCAAGTGTGTGGCTCGCTCCGTCCAACACCCATGAAAAAGAGACCCGACCGTCGGTGCAGATCCGTCTCATCGGCTCCCTGACCGCCACCAAGGCGCTTCTCCGCCCAGCTCGCAGCGGAGAGCGGAGCGGAGTGGAGCGGACGGGGGACGATCCATGTTTGCTGTACCGAACCACCTGGGCGGTTCTCAACCTGAAAGCGGTTCTCTTGACGTCTGGGACCGGCGTGTCTTGTGTCACCCACAGGAGAAGGAGAAATAGAAATACCAGTTAGAACATACTCAGCTGAGGGGGTATATAGGTTGGAGGTTCAAAGTCATTTTGACATTGACCATCTGACCCCAATGGAATCCCTCGCGATGGCCCCGCACCTCGCCTCCGGCTCGGTCCCCGCACCTCGTCTTCTGGCGCGAGACTGCACAATAGGCACCTGGCAGAGGCGATGACGCCTCCAAACCAGACCAACGAGCGCCGGTGTTGACCTTCTGCAGTCTTGTCTAACTCCAAACCCCTTTGGCCAAATGCCTGCATTGCTCTGTCTGTTGAAGAATCACAAAGCCAAGCATACAGAGCAACACAAGCAGTTCTCCAGCTGAGTTCCATGTCAAACCTGCTCCGCATTGAAAGAAACAACATCAACTCATATTAAGTGGTCTTACAGGCGTCGCCAGAGCACCACTCTAACGGGAGGGGGGGGCGACCCGGCACCTGGGCCCCTCGAGCGGCACATCTGCTTCGCCTGACAGAGGACTAGAGTCCACGTGGCAGCGCAGAAAGCATGGTGGCGGATGGCCCTCACAACTGTGGCGTACAACTCCTACTCTGCTTGGACGCCTCCTGGGTGGAAGGAGGGCCGGTATCCATGCTTGCCTTTCTTGCACATGATCACATGGCCACTTTAATAGTCATAGAGGATGTCATCTGAAGAGGAGGTCTGCAATGGCAACATGCAGGTAGCGGCTATGGCTTGTAGAGCACTAAAGCCAGAAGCCAGAGAACAACCGCCCGCCGAAAAGTAAAGGCAATGCAAGCCCAACAGAGAAGGCAAAGCGGCAAAGAAGACAAAATCAACTGCCGACAGACACCAAGATCAGCAACGGAGCACAGAAACGAACATTATTACATGGCAATCAACAAACACCGTTGCTGCACCCATCTGCTCCTCTCTTTCAGTACGGCCTTGCCTGCTGCAGTTGGCGACCTGAGCCATACCGAAAGACCTGGTCGTCACTTGAAGACCCAGTCAGTCCCAAAGTAATTCGCGTGAGTCCTGGCAGGAAGGTCGTGGCAGGAGTCGCAGCCCTCGGGTCCCCGAGCCGGAGACAATGCGGTGCCTCCCACGTGGCCGGGGGATGGGGGCATGGGTGAGCTTCCTTTGTTGAGATGGAAGTGGAAGTGGGTTGTTTCTTCGAGCCCTGAGAAGTTCAAGTCTTGTTCGAAACCAACGGAGAAAAAACAAATGGAAAGAAGTATATAACATGAAGTACGACCCGAAACTCTAAGAAGCCGCTCTACAAAGACATGTCGCACCTCATTGCTTTCCCAAAGCCCCAAAACAGCTCCCTGGCCCTGTTATACTTGGAAAGCAATGTATGCCTACCAGCACCCCAGAAGTCCTGGTAGGCATCCAAAGACTACAGTATATATTGACCGACTGAAGTATATATAACCCGTTCTTCAGGCCTCCCTATGACCGACCATTCTCTTTATAGTCTTTGCCGAGCCCATTGGGCCCAAAAAGGACCGTTACCTCCACCCGCTGGCAGGCGTGGGTTGAACCCACGGACCCTGCATGGAGCTGCTGGAAGAGAAGCTTGAAACGTGGAAGGAGGAATAAACAAACAAACCTGACTTCAACTGTGTGAGTGTTTAATACGTTTAACAGGTGGCGTATGGATGTGTATGGGTGTGTATGGGTGTGTGCCTCGCAGCTTCGACGCGGTGGAGCCCTCGCCTGAGGGTCACCGTGGCCGCGAAGGTCCTTGAGGCGACCCACCATCCCTCCGGCACCAGCAGCACATCGCCTGTCACGACGGCCACCATGGCGGAGACGAGGCTTCAGCCCGCGGAGACTTGGTGTTGCATCGGGTTCCGGTGCGGGAGGACGAAAGCTGTGCTGTGTGATTGTGTGCATGTCGCCGCACTGCAGGTGGGTGAGTTTGTTGAGGAAGAAACCTGCCGAAGACAAGGGGGAGGGAAGTGTCAAAACGGGATGGATGCTGCAAAAATGATCCGACCCAACGGAATCACAAGCCTAACCCTAGACTTCCAAGACCATTTAAAAAAATGCTTGACCTGGTTTTTGTATGTTTTTGTAGTGTAAAATCCTTAGTTGATTCCGGAATCACAAGCCTAAGAATACCCCAACATCCACCCACAATGGCCGTCTTCCCAACCTTCCGGAATCGACACCATTTCGCCCCGGCACCGGTGTCATCTGCAACCGATGTGTATGGCAAGCACTTCATTTGCATCACAAACATGGCAAGCACTTCCATGATTCTGTCCGAAAGTGTGGGGCTTTGGTTGCCCGTGCATCGCCGGACGAACCTCAGCCGAACCCGGGCACCTTCTTCGAGCACCGTCTGCCACGGCCCCAGCTCAGCCAAACGGCTCACCTCACGGCGGTGCACCCGCACCGGGCCGTGCGGCACCCTCACCAAACGGACCAAACAGGGGGGGCTGGGAAGCAAGGACCAACCCATGTGACATGCGTGCCGGACGTCCAGCAGCTTTCAGCTTTCTACTCTAAACCAGTTCCAGGGGTCCATGAAGCTGCGCAACTGGAAAATCATGGCAGCCGGTGCCCCCGGGCCTAGGGCTCAAGCTACGGCAGATTGAGCTGTTGGAGGGTTCTAGAGTAATTTGTAGCTGGGTCGAGGGACCGTAGAGAGTCTAAGTCTACGGCTCACTTGACTTAACCACATCCCCCTGGTGAACGGGTTCACGAAGCATCTTCTCTTGCAGCTCTTCGTAACTCCCACATCTCCACTGCTTCAATCTGTCAACGTCGGGGCCTCCGTCAATGGAACCACCCGCTGCGCACCCGAGTTGGCGGCCCCAGAGCATGGTCGACCCGTGCCGAATGGAGGGCGGCGGCCCAGGGCGGGGGGCTTCCGGCCGCGTCGATGCAACACGCGGAACGAGGCAAGCGGCGTCCCTCCGTCACTCCGGCTCTCCCTAGCACAGCAACCAGCACAGGCCTCCTGAGAGTCGTGGAGGTCGCAGCGTTCCCCGAGAGGCCCTGGACCAGCGCTGGGTGGGAAGAGCCAAAACTCCTGGGAAAAGCGGGCTGTGGGAGCTGGAGTCAAAGGGGGGGAGTCTCCAAGCTGGTTTTCAAATGTTTTCAACCATCTGAAGAATTGGGATGGTTTTCTAGTCTGGTAAATGTCTGTGGGGGGGCGAGGAGGTCCCGTATGGACTTTGACCACTGCATGAATGCCCCGGGTCCAAGGTCATCCCGTCCTTCTTGCCCCACAGCAAGGCCAGCTGACCTGGATGTCCAGCCGATGGCAGGATTCAGGGCCATGGGGCGTGGGTGTCTGTTAAATAGGAGACTGTTGACCTTGGTACTAATCAAGTATGACCAAATATGACCAAGGTACGATATGAGATGCTTCCCACACATTGTGCGTGGGGGCAAGTGAGACTCTTCATTGATCCGAAAGCTAGGTTTCACGCCATCGGGATACCAGTCCTGGAGGTTGGTTGTAGGTCAAGGTTCTGCAGCACTGCAATGGGATTGGCTCCCAAGCGCTCCCCATCCCAAGACTTGCAATCTGAAGAATGCCCCGGTGGCCCTCCTCCAGCCATGGCGGCCAGGGGGGAACCGCCGCTTCTGAACCGCTTCACCTGGAGACCCTGGAGTTTCTTCCTCTCCCATGTCCCAAGTTCACTCGCACCTGGCTCCATGCACCGCATCGGTCGAGTGTAGGAGCTCTTAGGCTCCACATCGATGACCTGAAAAGCACGGATGGCTTGGCCGGTCCGCGCGGGTGCGTTCTTGAACGCGACGGGCTCCCAGGATGATGGAGGGGCAGAACATCAAGTGAAACCCTAAATGGGGTGGCTCAGTCCACTGCCATTCTATTCTTCCACATTGAGCACCTTCAATTTGCGATCGGACCGCCATCTTCGCCCCTACTCTGCAACTGGGCGAGTGGCGATGATGGTGATGATGTTCGAAGTCTTTAGATCGTCAACTGGGAATAGTGTAGCGTAATAGTAATAGCAGTGTGCCCACTGCAAGCTGGAGAGGCCAACTTCACGGAAAGTGTGTGCCAGTGATTCGCCCCAACCGAGCCGAAAACGTTCGCCCACCTCACCCCAAAAAACTTTAGGATACGTTCAGAATCCACCAACCTCTGCAGGAGGTGCCCCTCTTGCATGGAATCCCTCTGCCCATCCTCACAGGATCCCTGGCTGCTCCATCCACCTTCATGTGGGCCTGGTCGGCGCGTTCCGATTGACCGCGTGCCAGCGGACGAGCTGGTGGATGAGCTGGTGGTGGCCGGCGGGTGCAAAAACTGACATCACCCCCCAGCACATGGGGGTTGCCTGTGACATGCAGGAGGTGGTTATTAGTTAATCTGTTATAAGTTATATGTAGCATATTGAATTATAATCTTGGAGTCTTCGTGGTGTGGTGTGCTCATGGTCCCTCAAGGCTTCTGGTGTGCAAATCTGTGTGGCATATTGTGAGCTGGACTGTCCGAACATTCAAGCCTTGTGCCCTGGCATCTTAGGGTACATAGGATCCACAATAAGCCTTATATACTTGGTCTTTCCAGGAACCCTGGGCGCCTTCCTCCCTCAAGTATCAGGCCCCCCGCGTGCTTTCACCGCACATGCTGCTTTACCGCACGACTTTGGTGCGGCCAAACGGGTCATGCCAAGTAGATGTAGGAGATGATGCCCTGGTCATTGGGCGGCTGCCGCTCGAGATACCTCGCACCAGCACCACATTTCAGGGATCTCCTCCAGTACCGAACCTCTTTCAGTTCAACAAACTCTCACAGACTCCAAGGGCCAGAGGATCACTCTCTCGTAAGTCAGCTGCTGCGCCCTTGTGATTTGCAAGCGTCTCCCACCCACTTCCAACTAAAGAAGCGGAACCCCTCATTCTTCCAAAAACTATGCACCCTAGATCAACAACACGTGCCAGCAGCTGCAACCATACTTTCATCGTCTTTCATCACAAAAGTTAATCAGTAGCAACATGACCTTTACATTCAAGCCTCCTAAGATCCTCCGCCAGGTCTTCAACAACCCCCCAACCAAAGGCTGGCTCCCGGCCCTGGCTCCCGCTGAGTGCGGCACTCACGCTCTATGAGCGACTCGATGCGCCGCTGCAGCTCCGCGGCCTCCACGGGGAAGCGCACCGAGGAGAGCACCTCTGCCAGCAGCTCCTCGCGCCCGACGATGGTTGAAGGGTCTTGAGGAGCCACGCTCCACTCAACACAGAGGCGCACAACAGAAAGGCGGGCACCGCAAGCCATTTGGGCTCAAGGTACTCACTGGGGCTCTTGCTGCCAAGGAGGCTAGTGTTCTTTTGCAGGGCCCCAGGGCATGTCAGATTCATGTACTATATATTAGTTGTTTTGTTGAAGGGAGCTTCTCTGTGGTGGTGTGGTTGGGGAAGAGTCTGCCAAACATTTCGGCCAGGCTTCGTGGGACATGCGAACTCCTCAGCTTTCGAGCGAGCGAAAGCCCTCCTGGTGCGTCATCCTCTTCTTCGACTTCCTGAGATGTGGGGATGCGCCACAAGATGCGTGTAATCTGTCATGAGCCTTTGGGGGTCTGATGTCCTATCTACCTTGCAGTCCTTCTTTTGGACTGCCCCTGTCGAACCAAAGGGGTTGTGCTGCTTGTGCAAGGTTGGAGTTGCCCACTGAGGGCCATGTTTGAGATGCATAGTCATACGTTTTCATCGTCCTTGAGGATGACCAGATTGGTGATGGAAACCCCAAGTGCCTCCATTGCTTGCTTTTGTCCGCTGGCTTTTTGGGTCCGCTCACCCGTGCGTCCCAGCGTCATCACACGGATGACCACTGCATCCAACTCGTGCTGCCGGCTCCCTGGTGGTTCTTCGATGGAAGGGGCTGGAAGGTCAGAAGTGCTGGAATTCGCCCGATCCAAACGGACCCAGGAAACTACTAATTACCATGCTTGAGCAGTTGGTTTGATCCAAAAACTGTTCATACTATGGACTTTACAGTAGATGACTATAGACTCTTACTAGACTGACCATCGGCAGAGACGACAAAACTGGTGTCCTTTGCCAGCTTGCCCAGCGTGGAGGAACTAACTCTGTGACTGGCAACCTTTGTGAACAGCTGCGAACTGAACAGAATAAACATGGGAGGAGGGGAGCACCTTTCATCACAATCCGCAGGGGGTGCACGTGGAACTGGGGGTTTTGCCCGATTTGCCGCGCCTACCACACGCTGTTCCACAGCGTCTTCCTCTTGCAGCTGCTCCTGGAGCCAACAAGTCCAGAGGATTCGCGCCAAGTTCCGTGCAAGTTACGCGGATGTGTGGGATTACATGAAACCAGGACTTGATCCATGCGTTCTCCGCCCTGCGAGTTTCTTTAACTCGCCCATGAAAACCGCTCACGAACAGCATCGCAACCGTGGCAACATCCACCACAGGGAAACTATCCTATCCATGTTGCGGTCTCTTCACACAGTAAGTCATATCCTCCCTGAAACCATCATGGAAGTGGCATGGCGGCATGGCCTGCCCTGGGAAGACCCTTTTCCTCTACAAACAGGCGATTGTCCACTTCCATGTTGGTTGGAATGGGGTCTCCAGTAAAAGCCCGGATCGGCTCCGTTTCCCAGGCCGGGTCCACCCACACCCATCTCCACCAAGCTCCTTGGGCGAGATTTGTGAAACAGTGATCCGGTAGAGCTTGTGGGTGAAGTTGGCATGGTAGGAGAAGGTCTCGCCAGGCAACACGTCTCTCTCCTTGGGGTTCTCCTTCCTGAGCATCTTCGGCGTGGGTTTTGTGGCCGCAGAAGGCTCGCGAAGTCGAGACATAAGCGTCTAAACACCCCTTCTAAACACCCACATGCTGAATTCGCCAGTGCCGTCGTCTAAACACCCTTCATGCCTTGCTTGACTGGACTGGTCGTTGATTCGAAGCATGGTGGGCTGGTGGGGCGAACGTCACGAGCCATCCCCAAGTGGTGCACCTACGTGACCTGCACTCCAGTGCCGTGCCAGTGCCATCCGGTGCCGTCATGCATCAGCAGTAGCTTCACCGTCCGGTGCAGAGACAAGCTCTGCAGCGTCAGCTGGAGCTCGGCGGGCGGGATCTGCGTCAGCTCCTGCAGCTTCTCGTAGCTAAGGACATCTGAGCCGTTGAAGCAAAGCAGCACCAGGGCCTGGCCAAATGGAGAGATCATGGAGATGGCGATACGCCTGATCGAAGCTGCAAATGAGACTGGAGTGACTGAAGGGAAGGCTTCACTAGAAGAAATCTTCTAGCATCACGATGTTGGAGGTCGTTGTCATGAGTTGACGCTCCAGGATCTCCTTCATCATTCGATCATGGTCAGAAGGGCAGAGCCAGATTCCACCGACGTGTCGGCGCCGCCTGGAAGTGCGAGACCACCAGCTCCTTCTTCGCAGCAGCATTCGCCCGCAGCCAGCAGCGACCCCACGCAGGACACCAGCGGAGGCTGCGACCACGGTGCTGTTGGCCGTAGAACGCTTCGAAGGAAGTCCTGCCGGTCGACGACTCGCGATGGCGCCCAAGAACAGTGAAAGGCCGGACGCGGTTGGCACAGGAGAGAACAACATCTCAGGGTTGAAGAGTTGAAGCGTTTTGAAGCTCTGGGGGCCCCAATGGGAGGCACGAAAAAGAGCCGCAAACCCGAAGCCACTGAGCCATCACAAGACCATGGTTGCAAGAAGTGAGCGCCATCTGTTGGAATCCGGATTGTGTGACACGCGGAAGTTCAGAAACCTCATGGACCTGTCACAAGACCCACTCCAGCCACATCTGAGATCCTCACTACCCACTTGACTCACCTGTCAAGCTTCCTAGCACAAGCTGGCACCACCGGGTTGACCCACCCATAGAGGATCCTAGAGACAGACCCGATCGTCGTCCAAAACGGCACTACACTCCAAAACATAAAGAAAAACACCGCCGTTTCGTGTGCTTTTTCTTGCACCAACCGCTCCAACCGGTCCAACCCTCTCGCCCCAAGGTTCCGGTCTCAACCGGACCGGGATCGGGTCGGGTCGGTCATGAGCCGTTGGATCGGCATGGGCAGCTTGATGGCCGGGCTTGAAGGCACGGAGGGCCACTTTCCAGTGGTGAGCACCGAGACCTCCGAGAGGCAGATCTGTAGCAGAGGGGTGGTCAGCTTGGGTGAACCCAAGCTGCGCAAATGGGTGCTCGAACGATCGAAAATCATGCACAAAGTGGCGTCTCCTGCTTTTTATCGAGAGAAAGTGAAGCGAAATAGAGATCAAGAACATTGCAAGAATCATAAAGAACTGTTTTACCCACCAACAGATGGCAACCTCTAGAAAACTCTGGATGAGCTCTATCCATGTCAGGGACGCACATATCGCAACCTGGCACACATAAAAGTTGCCAATTGAGGTTGAAAAGTCTGGCATCCAGTGATTGGTCGCCGATGCCAGAAAGACGAAGGCTTAGGGCCTAACCGATGGCCTAACGACAGCTGAGGCTTGTTGTTTGCGACAAACGGGAGTGGCAAGCTGAAGGTCTCTTCTCCTGTGTGCCTCTTCTCCTTCGAAAGGTCTGACCAGCCTGAAAGTCGACCTGCAGCTCCTGGCAGCCGACGAATGGCTTTTGAGAGACATCGCTATGAAGAGGGGCGAGGGAACACAACTCTGCCGTGTGCTGGTTGGCCGGCCATGCCGACAGCCATCAGTGGAACTTGCCGAAACAAACATTGGAAGTCTTCTTGAGGGGAAGTCAGTTGAAATGTTCATTGCGTAAATACTTCATTATCAACGTTACTGAATAAATTCAATGAAAACAGAAACAATATGAAACAATATATAATAGATCCATGATCTTCTCAACGAGATTCCACGAGTGGATGGTGCAAGTCTTCCAATCTGCCCGTTCCTCGAGGAGGGTCTTGGCCTCCGAGTGAAAGACTTGCGCCAAGACGCGCGAGATCTCCATGTCTTGGAACATGCCTTCGATGCCTCGGCCGACTCAGCTCACATACGCCGAAGACTTCGGAAGTGGTTTGATGCGGTATGCCTCCACCTTTCCCCCAGGTGGAGGCTGCGTTCCTGCTGTGTGTGGACTGACCGGGGGAGAAGCCTGGGCCAGCGCCAGAATCCAGTGCTGAAGCCCCTGGTCCGGCGGGAGGTGACGACGGTGAACTAACCCAGGCTTTGGGAGGGGTGCTAGCTGCTAGGGGTGGGAGAAGACTGGGGTGTTCCCAGCAACAAGGTACCTGACCGACCTGGTGGAGTTCTGAGCAACAAGGGTTCTTGCTACGTTTGCCAGGTGTGCATCCTTCAGATCGACGAGTGGTTAGACTCAGTTTGGCAGCTCAGTGTGACACAGCCACATGCCAAAGCACACATCACCTGCCTCTCTGCTTCCTTGCCCAGCGACCCGCGGTGTAGGCGCCGCCACACTCCTCTCGCAGCCACGTGGTCGCCGCCAGCTCCCCTTCAGAGGCAGAGCGTTGCAGGAGCCGCTTGGCCAAGTCCTTCTTGAAGAAGGCCTCGAACCTCACTGCGAAGCCCCCACCCACTCTGGATCCATCGCCGGACCCTTGAGACCCTTGACGTCTTTTTGCGGTTCCGAAGTCGACTTGACGCCAGAGTCGACTGAGTCCGGCTCAGGTCGCCACAATCTGCGATCAACATCATTGCCCAAAAAGAATTGCATCGAATTGTGGTATAAGCCTTATAATTAGGCTTCCAACAACTATTGTTTTGATGGTGTTTCCCGGAGAGTCATTGTTCCAAAGGGTTTCAGACTACAAAACCAGGTCAACCTTTCTCTTAATGACTCAATGGTCTTGGAAGGCTAGGGTAAAATCGTCGCACGTGTGGTTGAACTCTGTGGGGTTTCCTTTGGCCGTCTGACCACACCAATGGATGTAGCCAGTGGAACGTTGCACGACACCGCAAGTGCCTCGTCGTCAAAAGCAGGCCATGTCTCAAGGTCACCCACCATCCAATAAAAATGGAAGTAGACAATAGGCCCCCGGGAAAGACCTATATATTTTCTCTACAATCAGATGGATTGAAGTGCCTGACACGACACGGGTGAATCTTCAATCAACCGTAGACGACACTACACTCATCCGAGTGATTCACCATGTGAAGTTCAATTGGACCTCCGACAAATCGGTCCCAAAACCAGAGGAAATGATCCAAAGAGTCGCTCTTGTTCGACGCATCCATCTGCTCCGTCCTGTCATGATGCGTCCTGGGTTCCGACCTGGCTGGGCGTCCGCGCGCGTCTTTAGCGGCCAAGTACCGGAAGATCCTGAGTGTTCGACGGAACAAACATGAGCCCATTGAGCCTGTGAATCCCTTGGGCCAGCCTATCGCTCCCGTGTCAAGAAAAGAGAACTTTAGATTTTGTAATATACGCAGTACATATTAATACCAATGTGCATATATACAAAAAATACTCGTGATTCACATCACAGGAAGACTCATTGGCACTGCCACCGAAGCTTCTGCAGCGCTCGCTGGATGCGCACCTCGCTTTTTTACGGACCCCGTGAAAACGGGCCGCGTGACGCGACGGCCACCACGCTTCTCGGGCGGGTGAGCATTTTGGGAGGTCTTGTAGTCGGACGCCCTCACCCTGCCACCTTGCCAGATCGTCTGGGCTGGGTGGTTCTACAACCCTCTAGACTTCGGGGCGAGAACGGAAACCACACGCCGCCCCCCCCCCCCCGGATGAGGCCCACCAACCACACCCTCCTGATTTCCGCCTCCAAGCTCTCCTTCTCCACACGTGCTGGTGGTGCAAAGGCGAGCGGCTCGGCCGGCCTCAGCGGCTCGGCTCTGGCGGCTCCGCGCTGCGCGGTGCGCGGTAGAGGATCGAGTCGAGTGGATCCTTCAAAGGGATCACCAATGGAAGGCCCTACACTACTAAGGGACCTCCATTGGACACCCCTTGAAGGTTCAGGTATCAATGTCCATGGAGAAAAAATCCTAGAGTGTGCAGATCAGATGAAAAGGTTGGTAGCTGGGCCCCTTCTTGGATCCGCGGGTGGAGAGGATTGGGCTGAAGGGGGTTGGAACCCCTTCAGCCAAATGACGATTGTCACACTGTCCGTCTAGAGTCTAGCATCGTCTAATCCTTAATATGGCATCCCAAAAGGTCCAGCAACTTGCGATCCAACCATGGCGCCCCACAAGCGATCTTCGACTCATAGACTTCGGTCACATGCCGCGTCGCTATGCGTTTTTCGGTGGTGGGGCTCCGTTTGGCTTGGATCTTCAGTTCCTGTCTTTTCAGGGTCACTTTGGTCGGAGAAGGGGTTTTAGGATCCTGTCAGGTTTGTTGGTGCCTTGGAGGGGGCCGAAGAATGCCAAAGATGGACTATAGATGACTATAGACTATTACGCTGGGTGGTTTGCCTGGAAGTTTATCTCACAAGGAGATCGCCCAAAGGGGTAGAAATTGAGGTAAAAACAATACAACAGGAATTCACGTGTCTACTCCAGCAAAGGCTGAAGAACCCTATAGACTATCCTATAATAGTCTATAGGTACCCCTGTAGGGTCCTATAAGGTCACTTGACCTCTGTTGCCTCTTATCAGGGACCACTTAGATGGCCCTCACCCCACGCGACTTTCGGTCACCCTCGCGCCATGGCACGTGACCTCGTCACCCCGCAGCAAGACATCCAGGTACCGCGTCAACCTCGGCTGTGAAGTAGGGAGACCTTCCAGTTCAACCCCAATGAAGAAGGAAAATAGACCAGTCTACCATAGTCTACCCATTGGGCCAGGGGCTCTCCCAAAATACACATGCACACCCAATTGCCGTTCACACAAGAGCCAGTGGGACTGAGCACAGCACCGGAGGTGCCGGATCTCTCTAGCTGCGTGCTCTTGAGCACAGGCCGGTTCCACTTGGACCGAGGGACACGGGGGGTCGACATGTGTCGACCCAAAAATCCGGTTCCGCAGCGGGCAGTCGCGCCACACCGAGGCCCACATCAGACCCGCCCTACCTGGTCTTCCTTTGGGGCCAAACCGATGGTTGAACACCCCCAATCCGCGCCACACCTCACACCAAAAGCACGGACGGACCTTCCTTGGCGTCACCGAACCCGTCGCTCGCGGAAGCGGCCGCGCCGCAGTTTGGCCGCGTGGTTCGGCGCCGCATTGAGGAATCCTTTTTCGGGGGAGCGGAGGGGCGGAAAGGGCATGGAAAGGGCATGGAATGGCATGGAGGTTTTGGTGGAGGCAGGACATGAAATGATCTCTGCGACGATGGCCCAGGAAACATCAAACTCCAGATGGCCCATGAATGAGCGACAGCGAGTTCAGGCCTCCATCTTTTGTAAGGTCCATGCTTCTTGCTCCATTCTGAAGGTCTTCTGCCTCTCGCGACGCCAAAAGGCAACAACGGTCCGTCCTTCAAAGGCCTCCTTCTGCGCGATGGCCAAACCTGCATCGTTTCCGAAGGCAAGGCTCAGCACCTCGGACCACGCAGCGAGCGGCGAGAGCTCAGTCACCGAAGCGCCGTAAGAGTCGACACCATCTTCAACAGGGACAGGCTGTGTCAGCACCAGCGACTAGCTGCGTCGACCCGGCTGCCCTTCCTCCAACTCAGCTGGTGCTTTCTCTTTCTCACTCCAATGTGACCGTGCCCTCAACACACACCTTCCTGGCACCCGCCACCCACGGGATCCCGGTGCCTCCTGCGTGGAGCCAAGCCATCGAACCAGCTCGGGGACCACCTGCTTGGCGTCCTCGCTGCTCTGCATGGCGCGGCGCCCACCCTGGCCGTTCGAAACTTGCCTGGACCATCCTGGTTTGGGTGGTCCAATGTGGACATCTCTAACCTGGAAACCAAAAGAACCAGAAAGAAAATGGACCATGGATGTTTCCCCAGCCCCAGCTATTTCGTAAAGGACTTCAAGTGCCGTATTGGAACCACCATTTGTTTCCGGTTGTTTGAGTAGTCCATTGGTTCCGGATGGTCCAACCGGTCGGTCCCGGGAGGGGCTGAAACTCAAGAATGACCTACCGAGCTATGGCGGTGGGTGTGCGGCCTCGTTGACCCGCAGGAAGCACTCCGAGTGCTTCCGCGGAACCGCTTAGGGGGTGGTGAACCTCGACTCAACCCATGCAGGTGAGGCACTGAACGAACAGACTTGTGCCTTTCCCCTGGGAGTCAAAGACCATAAAAAGAACGGTCTTTAGGTGACCCGAAAAGGAATTTCCTTTACTTCAGTCGGTCAAAATATAGTCTTTGGACTTCTAGGGTTTCTGTTTCTCTTCAAAACCCTCAGACTGCCATGAAGCAACACTGGAGCCCCCAGCTGGAGCCCTCCCTGTGTTGATGCACCCCCAAAGTGCTGGACGTTGGCCCTCCTGACCATGTATCCAACCAGTGGGTTGGGTGGTCTCCTATTTTGATATACACCCACCAGGACCTTCCCAGTGACCGAACTTGAGATCCCAGTGGCTGGGGTCACGAACAGGTCTTGATTTCAGGTCACTTACCAATGCTGAAGAGGTCACTGGGAAGGTCTTGGCACATGCATCCAGCCTTCTCCGCTTCACACGAAGGCTCCAACCCTCGCCTGGCGCGCACGCCCTGGCCTGCCGCACGGCCTCGCCAAAGGCCTTCCGCAGGTGCGCGAGGGCGTCGACCTCCTGCACCGTTTGGCGTTCGGGGAAGCCCCGTTTGGCGGGTTGATCGATTGTACCAGACCAGGCAGGTCCGAGAAAAAGAACGTCAAGAATGGAGTTTCTATCAGCCCTAGTTCTGGACCACGACAAGTAGTTTCTATCTCCTGCCAGTTTTCTGGCAACGTAATGATGCCGCCAGGGCTTTGATGTAGGGATCGCTTCTGCCTGGAGTGTTCAGCAGTTAACCCAAAAAAGAATCCATCAAGTCCAACAAACCACATTCTCCTAAACAGGACAGGTCTCAATCTTGTCCACTGGCCTTGTAAGGTGTATGGTGATGAAAGTCCTCTTGCGGTTAGGACCACCTGGTCGCCCAAACGGCGACACGCCTTCGCCCAAACGGTGACACGCCTCCTGACTCCCCTTGGTAGAATCCCAACACCCCCTTTCCCCCCAGTGCTGGAAGAGCCACCTGCTTAGAGCACCCTTCCAAAGCCTTGAAGCTTTTGTGTGAAGGCTTCCTCCATTTCCCCATGCCCCATGCCCCGCACAACGACTGCATCCACACTGAGATGGCGCCTTGTAGTGCCTATAGAGGCGTCCAAGATCACTCACCTGGCAACCAAGGCCCCGGTGGGGGGTGGAGGTCTGACATGGTACGCTCCCGCGAAAACGAAAACGAAGTGGATACTAAAGCCTCTCTAGTTGAGGAACATCATCCTCCCACAGGTCATGCCATCCACTTCCATGTTAGAGTCAGAGCATCTCTTCCGCGGGACCCACACTTCAAGGAGCGAATGCTACGGCTTTACTGCGGGCGGAGAGTGGCCTTTCAACGCAATTCTATTGTATGCGTATTTTCCTGCGTGGCGTGTTTATGGCCTGCACGTCGCAGACGAGTTGGGCAAAGCCCAACTCCAGGAGGTCTTCAGCCTTCTTGGCCAAAACCTCTTGGCGCAGCACCTCCAGCAAAGGCCTCGCCGCATCCGGACATTCTTCAGAATCCGGTGTCCGCGATATCCGAGATCGAATCGCTTTGTTGGCACATCTTTCAAGAAGAAGCAAGGACATGGTCATAGAATGAATGCTCCATCATCTGGCAGTCTTTCCAAAATGACCCTCACTCCAACCTCACACTGAGTACTGCATCATCCATGACGTGTCTAAAGAACATGCTTTGCTCCCCCTCCCTCAACACCCTTCTCTCAAAAACCGCGTTGCCTCACCCCAAGACACATCCCCTACAGTATGCGGCCCCAGCTGCTGCAGTGTAGAAGGCTCCAGGTGATATGTGTCACATCGCTGCTCTTCGGCCTCCATGAACGTTTGTCCCTCACGGTCGGGACGATTCATGGACACCCATGAACCGGGCCAAACCTACTCATAGACACCCCAAACGGGGGGATCCTGGATCGATATGCTTCGCTTTGGGTGGGATGGAGCTCTAAGAAAATAAGAATAAAAGCCAAACGAACAAAAAACACCACCTCGGACCTGTCCAGAACCCTCCGGGTCCGGGACAGTGAGACCTGAAACCTAGCCGAACTGTGCTTCTGATCTGGGAGCTTCGGGGAAGTGTCTGGCCTTGGTCCAAATGGCACATGATTTGACACCTTCCAGGTCCGGCACACGCTACTTCAACATGGTCTGTCGAGGTTGGGCGGTCGCTCATCATGCCAACAGTGGAATCTAAGGCACCGGGGTCCCAAAAGGCCTTCAAATGCTCGTCCGCAAGGAGCAAATACTCCGCCAAGGACTTCTCCCGCTGCCAGCAGTCCGATGCCTGCCAGGTCCCCTCGACAAGGGGAAACCCGGCAATCCATCAGGCACACAGCTGAAGTGGCCAGCAAGGGGCTTTGGATTTTGGGGCCTCCGTCTCTACCAGTGATTCCACCAACCAAGACCCCACCTTAGACAGTTCTTCTTCACACACTTGAACTGCCTGCCAGAGCAGTTCGTAGCTCGAAGGCTCTTTTTCATGCGAGAGATGCCATGGCCTCGCGGTAGAACTGGGCACTTTGCTCCAGAAAGGCCACCTCAAAGTCCTTGTAGAAGTCCAGGCTCCGGAGGAGCTCCACCAGCGACTTCAAGAGCTCCGGGTCCATGGCCTCCAGGCCAAGGAGCGGCCCAAGGGCAGCACGACCGGCGCCCATCAAGGCGACGGTCACCCCACCAAGCAAATGTATCAAGGGACACAACGTGACAAAACCCAAGCAGGATACAGTAAACGCATGTTGTTTTTGGTGATTGTGGCTTCCTCATTGGGGTTCTTACATGTTCCTACTTCAAGAATAGGAAGAGGGGCCTGTGTGTGTTTTGGAGCTTGGGTGCCGGTGCCGCGGCAGGGTGCTGCTGCCAGAGTTTTATGGCAGTGTGTGCTTTGGAGCCTGTGCCGCTGCAATGATGCTGCCCACAAATATCTGTTGCTATCTGGGGTCTATGCTGGTTGTCCACCAAGAACCAGCGACCTCCGGCCTCCTGCCGCCGTTCGGCGTCCAGCAGCCGCCGCGCGCCGGCGGCGGCCGCCGCCCGGAGCGACGCTCCGTCGAGCGCGGCGGCCAGGCGCGCGCGGAAGAGGTCGGCGAAGGCCTTGAGGCGCCATGAGAAGCTGACAGAGTTGCCGGGACTCAGGTTCGCCGGTTTGGACTTGATAGTTGGTTGGCAGATGCCACAACAGTAGCGAGAGAGCTCAAGAGGCGGGCCCGTGCGCAGCGGAAAACTATCTGAACCCCTGTTTGTTGAGAATGTTGGTCCTCTTGTGGAAAGGCCACCCCAAGCATTCACCACGGCGCCTCTCGTCGTGGGTTCCGAGAGCGGTCCAGGAAGCTGTAGATCCTCAGCGGACCGGACCCAGCGTTCAGTGGTACTCCTGTGGCCCTTCTCCGTCGGACTTTTCACGCGGTTCATGCGGAGTGGGGTCGGAGTGGCACGCGGAGTGGCACGCGGAGTGGCTGGCGGAGTGGCTGGCGGCGTGTACAAAAAGCCAGCTTCGTTCACACCACCAGCGCCACCTGTGGCTAGTGCCCGATGCTTGGTATTTCACAGGCCTCGTCGGCGGAATGGAGGGATGAAACACTCCCGCCCCAGCACCTCCAAAGGAATGAGAGGCTAAGGATTTTCTGCTGTGGCACCATGGTACTTACCCACAGTAAGGGAGAAACTTCATTACTAAAACCCCCCACCCCAGATGAATTGGCTTTACATTTCCAAATGGGAAGGTTTTGTAAATCACCTGCAGATGTGGCTAGGCTAGCCACGGTGCCGAACAAGTTCAGCCAAGGATCTTGCAGAGGTCCTTGAAAACCCGCCCCATCTTCCTCCAGACCTCACCATGACTCACAGGACCACCGCCCCATCTTCGCTCGACCCGAACAAAGGAAGCTCCGGACCAGCAGATTCGGAGCCTTTCGTCACCTCCCAAGACCCCGCCGAGCTGTTTCAGCCCGCCTGGGGATTGCTTGAGAAACCCAAAAAGCCTGGGCTGAAGAAACGTCCGTCTGAGAAGCCCCATTGATTCTTGAACCTTCAGCATCGTTTAGAGAGAGAGAGAGAGAGAGACAAAACCTGGATCCTCCTTTGGGCGGAAAAAAGTGCCGGACCTCAATCCAGCAAATTTGTCCACCCGATTCCGAAAAAAATGCCGGAGACCTGAGAAAAACATCCGGATCCAAGATTCTGAAAAACAGAGATGATAAAAGGTTGGATCATACACAAGGAAATTGCCTTTGCGCCGCGAACGTTCCCGTTCCCATTGCCCTCGCCCATCTTCCGAATGGCCTAAGAGCAGAACCATCACAAAATATAAGCAATTTGTGCCCAAGCAAAGACTTCCAAGAAGAAACCAATGAGCATGCGGCAATGAACTCATCTTTCTCTGCAACCGTGTCTCTAAAGTGCTTTTTTGCAAAGTGGGTTGCGCTCCATGATTCTTATGCTTCTTAATGTTTCTTTAAAGCTTGCCTCAGGACGGCCCCGCAATAAAGTAGCAGAACTCATGGTTCCTGTCAAGACTCTTCTCTGAAAAACTGTTCAAAGTCAAGGCCTGCACAAAACTCAGTCCAAAAAAATACGTCGGAATTACGGGAAATTACGCCGGAGTTACGGGAAATTACGCCGGAGTTACGACGTGCCATTTTTTGACAACTCTCTGCAAAACATTGAGATTCTGAACAACACATGTTCCACAGCCCAAAACTTGTCCGGCAGGCTCTGCAAACCTGCGCAACTAAAACTATATCCCAGCGCCCCGACATCCTGAAACAATGGGAGCACAGTTTTGCCTATGCTCTTTCGGCTTAGGTACGCCCACTTGGGTCTTTCAACAGGTGCATCGCACTGTACCGGCTTCATCCGATTTCATTTAGAAGATCACCTAAACGGATCTGATTGATTCAGTGTGAACCATGCTGAAACCGGTGGAATGAGAAAACAGCGGAACAGGCAAACGAGCACACTTTGCAAACATAATCATTGCATCAGTAGTGGGTTTACCTTCAAAGAAATGCAGACCACAAAGAATGCAAAGCCTTGAGAATCCACATAAAGTGACTTGGAAAAAGCGCCGGACCAAATCCAGAAAAACGCCGGAGTTGGAAGTCCGGCGCCGGACCCTGTAAAAGTGCCGGACTGAAGATCTAGGTGTATATATATATATAAGCCTAAGCCCCTATCTGTGAGCAGGTGCCTGGATCCAGTCCTGGTAGAACCAAACGACCATGTCGAATCAGACCACCCAACCAGAAAAAGAGCGACGACTGGTTCTTCGTCCCTTGCCAGGCCGCACAAACCAACTCTTGCAGCTGGCTGTCCTCCCTGTCGGCCACTGTGGCTAGGTGCAGGTCCAGCTGAGTAGCGACCTCCTCCAGGAGCTCCTGGAAGACCTGCCTAGTGCGGAGAGAAAAAAAAAGAAACAACCCGGCACACCAGACCGGTGCGACAAACCCCGCAGGAGAAGGAGCAAGCAAGCAAAAAACGGCCTATACATAATAGAAAACGTAACGCTGCCAGGGTGCACGGCCCGGCAGGCAGGTGATCGGGGCGGATGAGGCATCTTGAAAGGAACACAGAGCCCTAGCCTATGAAACTCAAATCCCTTTCTCCACTTGGCACGACCTGCAGCCAGCTTCAAGCGTCTATAGTCTTTTTTTCGGTCTACACGGCTAATGTAATAGGGAGGCCATGGTGTGCCGGGAGCCCTCCACCTGGAAGAAACGCGTCCTTTACAAACTCATGCTTTAGGTCCCTGAACCAGTTTTTGGGGGTGTGCACGCCCCGAAAACATCGTGGAAGCGGATGGCGCCACCTGTTTGGTATTCGAAAAATGCTCATTCAAGAGGCCTATTGTCCACTTTTATGATTATTTCAAGCAGTGTGACCCTTGAAGCTTGGTGCCAAGCCACTGGCCGCGACCTGAAACGCAGAGAGCTTCTACATGTCGGTACAGCTGCTCTCGACTGCCTCGGTGGAGACGGCACAGCCCCGATCAACCTCTTGGCCCGATCCACCGTTCCACCTCTCTGCGGCCCCAGACTCCGGAAAACGTCTCGCTGCAGATCGCCTTGACCGCCTCCCTCAGCGCCGAAACCCCCGCTTCATCGCCCGCGCGCGGCGCGCGGGGCGTGCCGCGCACGAGCACCCGCGGGCGGTGCCCGAGGGGACCGCGCTGCTGCAGGCGCTGGACAAAGGAACTGGGGCCGCCCACATCGCAGTCCATCGGAAGATGACGAAAGGATCTTCAACCGTTTTTCAGCTGGGTTGGGTGATGTTTGGCAAATGCTCCTGGGGCTGGCTGCCTGCAATGAGGGGCATCTATAAATATATAAGGCTCTGGGACATCAAGAAACAATAAGTTGTTCAAGATTTTGAGGTGCTTAGCACTACAGTCTTGACATGTCTTGACATGTTTAAGCGATTTCTGTGTATGCACTTGCCCTGTACCCCCAACTTGGGGGCGGCGGAGTCAACGGACTATAAATGTCAGTAGAAGATGGCAGCACTTCAGGGTTGTTCAGCTGCTTTGGTTGAGGGGGCATGGGGCTAAAAACATCGTACGGCCCGGCCCAGCCTTATGTTTCAAGACCCTGTGCTCCTTTTCGGGATGTCAGCTCCTCAACTCAGCAAAGGTGTCCACACTTGCATGCACTTTCAGAACCCCCCATGCACCATTCAGAGCTGCTCGCTGCTTGAGCCAACGCTTTGTTCTGGGTTGGATGGGCCGTGCGGTGGCTTGCGTTTACTCGAGGGCCGAGCACCGTAGGGTGCTCGGAAACCTCCTACCAAAGCTCGGAAACCTCCTACCAAAAAGCTCCCAAGAAAAAGAAGAAATGTGGCAGCTCATTCTGGTGGCCCACAAAGGACAACTTCATCCCTGAATCACCCGAAGCTAGCCGCCAAGCACTTGGATCTCCATTCCTCAAACCCCTGAGCCCCCTGAGCGGCTGGCCTCCACACTCCAGTTCCTCATTTCTTGGATCTCCTCCAGCAACTCTCCATGCTGCGCCCAAGGACTCCAGGCTTCCAAGCGCCAGGGATGCGGCTGGCCGGGGCTCATGGTGAAGTGTAAGGGACCGAACGGCGGCAAAGGCCCCGAGACATAGCCTTGAGGAAGGTGAGGAAAGGGGAGGGAAAGGGGAGTCAGGTTGGTCAAATCGGAAAAAGCGGAGCCTGGGAAGACATACGGAACGAAGAACAAAGGCCCTTGGGAAGTGCATACTGTATATATCTGTATGTCATTGTCTAGTATATCATTGCCTATCTGTCTATCTTATATAGTTTAGGAAGCGAAGGTAGTACACATTGAAAAAAGAAGAGAACTCACCTTGAAAGGGTTCAAATGACGGCTCAAAGAACATGAAAGAACTCTCCACAACCTGCTTCCTTTGCAGCTCAGTGGCTACAAAGCTGCCAGAAGCGCATACGAATCTGCTTTCCTCCAGCTTCCTGGCCAAGCTGTACTGGCAACTCCCCCAGATGCTGGGCCAAGCGCCCCGGGCTCACGCCCTTCGCCCCCGCGCGGCACGTAGTAGGGTACGGCGCCGTACCGCGACCCGGGTGCGCGTCCGCGCCCTCCTTCCGAGCGGAACAGGCGACGGTCGAAGGTCGAACGACGGGGCCGGGAAGTGAGCTCCAAGCATTCCAGGCAGTTGTTGCTGCCGAATGACTCTCTCATGTTCTAAGCTTTCTTTTTTCCAGGGCAAGGCGCGAGCCGACATCTTCTTCCCCACACGGTTTGTCCTTGTTGGGGACCGGCCGCCCATTCCACGCATGGCTTAAGCATTGCAGCTCCCATCCGAATGGCGGGGGCTGCAGCTTCTTGGTTTTGGAAAGCCCAAAGCAGCGCCAGAACTGTTGGGCCCTTTCCAGGTTCACCTTGACAGTGCCGAAAAACGGCCAACATGTCTTCCCCTCAATTGGTGATAGACTATCATAGACTATGCCTATGGAAACTGCAGAGATGAAGAGAAAAGTGAAAAAGAGAGAAAGAAAGAAAGAAAGAAAGAAAGAAAGAAAAAGAAAGAAAGAAAGAAAGAAAGATCTTTGTTGGGGGGGGCGTTATGCTTCAAATACAGCTGTTGTGGAAAGTTGTCATCTCCAGGTTGACATGCCTTGTTGGAACCTGACCAGACTTTCAACGTCACTCGCCTTGGCCTCCGGTACCTCCGCCGCAGGCAGAAGCCCCAGTGCTTCGCTGGGGCAGGTGCTTGCATCGCCTCCATGGAGCACAAAGCCGTCGCGCACAGCCATGTAGAGGCGGTCGCGCTTCAAGAGTAGATTTCGAGTGCCTGAGAGCAGCAGCTCGCGCTCGCCCACCGCGTGGAAGACGAAGCCGCAGTTGTTTAAGTACTTGAAGTTGAAGCTGCCACAATCAACCTGGATTGGTGGAAGTGGTTTGGGCAAAAATGAACGACAGAAGGACCTGCTGTTGACCAATGCAATGCATGGCATATGGTGTCCCCTACAACGAGAAAATACTTCTTGAAGTAATCCCAAGTCAACTGTAAAGATGTGGCCCTTCCAATTCTTGTATCGGGCCCCACCAGCCCAGCTATACCAGGGCTCTTCACGACCGAAACCATCTTGGCGCAGCAAACGGCAGAGCCCAGTCTGGTCCCAGCACACCTCCTGGTGCCACTTTGGGTCGCTCTCTTCCCACCATCTTCGGAGCAGCTCGCGGCACCACTGTGAGCGGCGGAAGAACATGAGGCCAGTATTCAAAAGGTCTGTGTCCGCCATATCCTCTCCAATGATGAAGTCCATCGCTGGCACGGGCAGTTCCAGAAAATCCTCCAAGCGCACGGAGTGATCCAAAACCAAGGCATCAGCATCAATCCATACCAAATAGTCGAAGTCTTCTTCAAAGTCACCACTCGCCGACCCGTCATAGCCTCTTCCACGCAACAAGTTTCGCAGCAAAGCCACTTTGGCCCAGGCCAAGTGTCGACCTCCAGCCAGCTTCGCCATGTCCTCGGGGCTCAGCAAGACCCTCCGGAAGCGATGGCCATGTTGCTGGCAGTAGGCCTCATTGACCACCGAACACAGGAAACCCACCTCGTATCTGGAATCGAAGGCTGTGACCACCAGAAAGCGTGGTCTTTCGCCATGAGCCGCATGACACATCAGGCCACGCAAGGAGTTGCACGGTGTGTCTTTCCAAAATCACTGGGGATCAAGGAGTTGCCATAGTTTATACAATTCAAAATCCCCGAACTCGTCAGCATACTACTGCAATCTACTGCACATATTTATATATATGTGTGTGTATATGTATATGTTTTTATGTAATATATATATATATTATATACATGCATAATATTGTATATGGTCGCGCACCCTCAAAGTTGGTTCCTGGTGCAAGCTGCCTCTCAACTCCTCCGTAGCATCCAAAGCCACCCCTTCTTGAGTTTCTTGGAGCAGCTATATACATGCTAGCTTTTTGAAAGGAATCACCTGCAAACCTCTGAAACCGATAAGGCCTGTTTTCTCACACCACCTCGTTTTCACACCGGTTCGGTCCTAGGTCCAATGGCTTGAGTTGGCTTTCACAGGGGCCGAGCCATGTCCAAGTGGATCATCTGAATCCATCTGCTGTTCGTGACTTCAGGGGGGGCGAGCAAACCAACACAGCTTCTGTGATGATACTTCGTTGCAAGTTCCCAACACAGCGCATCTTTTTTTTTCGGGGGGCTGGCATTGGCAGAGGTGATCGGCCTCAGATCATGGCAACATCCCGTCTAACAATTGCTGCGAGTAACGAACAGGTCTGCGAGCGTCTGATGTCACCAAGATACGTTGGATTGGACAGGAGCGCCGTTCGTGTCACAGGTTCAAGGATGCCCTGGCGGTCGAAAGCATCTCATCACCAAAGCTACAATGGAGGAGGGGTCCACGACAACACCTGGGAACAAGGGCATGGCAGTTTCTCCATGTTTCTCCGTTGTGTTCCGAACTGACATTGAAGTTAAACTATCTGGGACACTAGTAGTCATTCAAACGAACTCGCTCCAAACCAGATCATTCTTGAATACATCTGGATTGCCCAGGTGCATCATGTCATATAGGCTCTTGATGAATCTACACATTCCCTTGTTCCACTCCTCCCACCGACTACCCCCTTTCTTCGGCTCTCTTCCACCCCTCCCCGCTCTGCCTTTCTCCTGGTCGGCCCCAAGATCTGACGGGTCTTCGCCTCGCCACACCGACTCCGCCGCGGTCCGGGACCGCCGCACGGTCGGCGGTCGCCATGGTCCCCCCCCCCCCTGCCCCTCCCGGAGGGAAAAAAGAAACAGGCCGACGCCTGACGCGAAGGGCGGGTTTCTTCATTCTCTCAGTGGGGTTCCGGACATATGCTCCAAGACTTTCGCAGTCTTGTTGTGAGCTATACATGGCCTTTATGGCTTCAAATTTACCCCACAGAGATGGACAAGTGGATGGATGAATGGACAGAGACAAAAACAGCCAGAAGTGGCATTTTCAAGTCGTGGCTCGAGTCCGCTGAGCTTCCAGCCAGCAACCAGGTCTCATCACCCCAGCGGTCAGGCTCAGCCTCTCCGCCCGGGCGGGCGGGTCCCTTGCAAAAGCTGAACAGGGGGATGTCACCCTCGGTTTGCAGCAGCACCCAATCCTTACATATCCTTACAGCTCGATGTCGAGCATCGTTCAAAAGTTTGGGCCTTGGTGCTTCATTGGCGACCTGTTGATCTGTAGGGCCAGGTGCTGGTAGGTAAGCCCAATCTCATTACTGTAGGTATTCGCACCAGGCACCAAACCGTGATGTACCCGATCGAGATAGATAGGTCATGCTGAGTCATGCTCAAGTGAACTGATGGACCACACACCCCGCAAGAGGCCAAAAAACAATGTGGATGTCCGGCTTCACCGTGACCTGATGTTCATCTGGTCATCAGACCATCTTCCACACTGTCGAGTCTCCCCGGCCTTGGAGGCAGAAAGCGGCTCTGCCACCTGCCAAAACGAGCGCATGCTCGGGGGTGTGGAGCCCTAGATGATCCACCACCAAAAGCTTCAAACAGCTGTCTTCATCCACCCACTACACCCTCCCCCCAAACCGTTAACCCACTTTCACACGTCATGCATCCGTCCCCGACTCACTCCCTCCGCCGCTCCCGACCTCCCGCTCCCTCCAGCCTTGACCGCTTCCAGCGCAGCGGCCTCGGCGTCCTGCAGCAGCTTGGCCTCGGACAGCCGGTGCCGCGCGGAGACGGCCGCGCGGGGGCACAAGGTGCTTCAGCAAGGAGATGGCGCAGTTGACACCCAAAGCTGGCGATAAGTGTGTTTTGAAGCGAACGGGCCACCCCGGGGCTGAAGCAAACCTCAGGTCTGAGTGAACCAGACCTTGGTTCCTTGCACCCTTTCTGACGCTGGCCATCCACTTGCCCCTACATGTAGCACATGTCACGCTGGCCCAAAAAGAATCAACTCAGAAAGACGAAGGCCATGTAGAGACCCGAAGGCCTTGTTCACTCGACTCATGCCACGTTCGAACATTGTTGGCTTGGTGATGAGATCACTCCTCCACCTCATTGGATTGCGGGATGGATCCACCTTCTCCCAAACCCAATAAGGCTCCCTCTAGACCACAAGCTCTCAGACCTATTTGTCTTCAACATCCGGTCAATAAGGTAGCTGCCGGCATCCACTGTAGATTTATCATGAGAATAATATTCCACCTTAGTGTCAACTTCCGCTTTTTGCCTATATGCCCCATCGTGGGACTAGAGATTGTCTCTTGATTGTAGCAGACCATTGCCGACAGGTGCGTGACATGTGCCAGACTTTTCGCCCAAGACCTGATGCCTCGGGACTTCAAGGAGGTTTGCAGGTCAGATGCTGGAAAATGCCTAACAAAACACCTGGACGTTCCCACACCAACTCGGCCGCGGAGCGAGTTTAACCCCCCTGAGCCTCACACCAAAGACACCGCGCGCTGGAACCTCGTCAGACGGTCCGAAACACCCAGCCGTTCCAACCGGCGTGGCGCTCAAAGTTGGAGGAAGATCTACAAGTTGAGAAATATGAGGAAAAGCATGGAAAAATCCATGGATTGAAAAGGGGACACATACATACATACAAAATCATACAAATACTCTGTGGTGGCTCAAGTGTCTCCTGTGGTGCGAAGCTTCTTTCTTTCAACTGTCCTTCTTTGGAGGGGCCAAAAATGGGGAAACTTGTAGCTATACCTTGGCCCATGGGCCCCCACACTCAAGACGTGCGCACTAGAATGTTGAGCAGCTATGAGCAACTCAAATCGACAGCCCTACTCGCAGGACAACATATACCATAATATAATAGCCTCATTAAAGCCTTAGGTGCTTAAGTAGGACCAGTTAGTAGCACGCACTTATATATATCCCTCGCGCTCTTTTCCGCAGTCACAAGAACTCCCACCCCTGAGTTTCAGGGTCAAGGCAAGCGCCATCTTTCGAAGTCGAAGGGCGTACTGCCAGCACTGAACATCGTCTTGAACGAAGAAGTCATCTAAGCCAGCAGTATAGCCATTCCACCCCTTTCATCCTGCTTCGCAAAACCGTTTGTAATCTTGAGGAAAGAGCTCTTCCAACACCAAAGGCAAACAACTGCTTAATGAACTGATCTTTTGCCTAGCTACCGGGCTCAAGTTGAATAAAAACAGCTGAGCAGCAACTTCCTGAATATAGTGTTCAAGAGTCTTTAATCTATTCCAACGTCCTTTCCATTGAATCTGACTAATGTTGCCGCACTGCAAATATTCATGGGTAGCTCCTGAGCCACGGAGCGTTCCAGGTGTAGCTCCTCCTTCCGCCTGGCGTCGGGGGATCTCCAGGCGATCCATGACACTGTTCCACTGCCGCCTGTACGCAGCGGTTGATGCTGGGAACAATTTTGTGTCCAATGCTTGAAAGCCAAACACGCACCAAGCAAGAAAACTCAAAGAATCATCATCGACTCTAACGTGTTGTTTTCGAGCGAAGCGTGAGGTTTTGGGGTTTTTGACAAAAATGTACAACGATCGTGTCTCCGGCATGGAATCAGAGGGGAAGATCAAGTCCCTCCGTGTCAGTTGAAGAAATTCGTTGGGGTGCAACGTTCCGCCAAACCCGAGTGCGGTGATCGCAGCAAACGACCACCACCCCCACAGCAGGGACAAACAAAGTACTGCGCGCAAAACAGGAGCTGAAAGAACGGCCCAGCATTGGCCAGGCTCCTCTAGTTGCCACTTCTTGTCAACAGCCCAATCGCCACTTAGACATGATCTAAACTCTGGACGCGACTGTTGCACTGCTGTAATGGCGTAAACTAGCCAATATCGTGGAGCTCCCTGCTTGAACAATGCAAGCCCATAGCCCTTAAGACCCAAGTTTGCAAGCTCAGCGGTACTTAGAATTTCGTCCAGCATCACATGGGCTTCAGTAGAACACCAAAGCCCAAAGGCCTTCAAGCATTTCTGCATTCGAACAGAGGTCGCCTGCGCAAACCCGCCCATCATCTTCAAATCCCCTCTGGGCTCATAGCTGGAAAACTGCTTAGGCCCAGGATTCTGTTCGATGTCTCCTGCCATCAGTAGGAGGAGGCGATACCACCTCCCAACAGGCCGAATCCATCCTGCTGATGTCAACATGATGTCAAAAGGCGCTGTGTCGCCGTCAAGCAATGCTTTCAACCAAACAGGGACAGGTCGACTCGGAGGAGGAACCGGGCCATCCCTTGACGGCCCGTCGGCCCGATTCCATGCAGACCTACGATGCAACGTGCCCGGATACAAACCGCTCCCAATCAGATAGGGAAGTGTGCTTCTCAAAATCCTGCTCAACGCTTTGCTACTGCTGCGGCCCTTGGCCACTGCTCCCATGGTGACCCTGCTATCTAACAATGCAACAAGACGACTGTTGTAGCAAACTTTTGAAATTGATTTTGAGAAATCCTAAGCACCACTCTACCTTTTTTCATGAAGTTGACATTTCAGTCATGAGCACTGAGCATAACCAACCTCGAACTTTGGCTCAAGAAAACAAGGGCGGCTGCGTTTTTGCTTTTGCTGCCCGCACACGCTCAGGTTATGAGCCCAACCTGTTGAACCCCGCCATGTCTTCCACCACGATGCGCCGGCGAAGAGCTGCTGAAGGAGCAGCCGGTGGTGTGGTGGGTGGTGCAGCTGGCGAAGCGGCTGGCGCTGGTGCGGCTGATGGTGCAGCTGGCGCTGGAGCAGCTGGAAGGCAGAGGAGAGCGGATGCCCCGTTGGTGATCGGTGAGGCTGACCGCAAACTCGATGCCCTCATCGAAGAGGAGGTGAGAAGGACTCGTTCCGCAGACGCGGGACCAAGACGGCAGACGGAAGTGGGCAGCACGCCGAGGGGACCCCCTGCATCCTTTAGGCCACCGGTGATGGGGACTTTGGACGAAGGTCCCCGAGAGTTGGAGGCTGGGGTGGGTGTCGCTTCGTCGTCGTTGAAATCGGTGAAACCTGGAGAGCTTGCGGCAACTCCTCCCGCAGCGGCGGGGTCGGCTGTGGGCTTGGGGGCACTTCATGATGCGGTTCAACGAACTTATCAGGTACTTCAACAAGCACTAGCAGGACAACCTCAAGGTCAAGGTCTTTTAGCACCTCTTGGACCTGGCATTGATCCAGCAGCTCGAGGAGGGTTGTTTGGAGATGGAAGTGGTTTGATGAACCCGAGAGCCTTGGACTATGGGCAGGGAGTGGGACAAACACCGGTTCGGTCACCCAACATCAATCCATTCTGGAGCCCAGGGGTTCAGGAGGCAGCTAGAAGGGGCATGACTGGGGGCGGTCAAGCTGGAGGTGACGGCACTTTTCCGGAAGCCCAAGGTGATGGAAAGTTTGCTGCAGGTAACCCTACAGCGAATGGGTCGGGGCCGTGTGGCATCGGGCAGAACTCGGGACCGACTTCCCCGGGTCAAGATGATGTGGAGGTGCTGAGGGCGAAGATCCTTCGGGAGGCTGAGGAGACCTTTCAAAGGGAGCTACGTCGCCTTGGCACGTCCCGTGAACCGACGGATACGACCTCATACAAGACAGTGTCAAGTGGTCAACCTCTGGGAGACCTTGCACTTGATCAACCTCCTGGATTACCTCAAGGGCGTCACCCATTGTTGAGATCTGCAACGGACCAGGGATCAGGACAGAAGGTGGTGAGGATTGGTGGTGGGGCATCAACTGCTTCAATGACGGAGGCATTGAGGAATCTTGAACTTCCTGCTCTACCCTCTCCAAATGTTGAAGGGGCCTCAATCTTGTTTGGGGACTGGCTCACAATGAGTTTCCCCCTGATGGCTGACATCTCGCACAGTGCCAAGGCATGGTGGGAAGAGTCCCTCTCGATTGCGCAGGAGCACTATGCCCGATGGCTGACAATGAGCCCTCTGGAACGCCTGCGAGCAAAGCCGGTGGTGGTGGTGGAGCCTGCACTGCAGAGGATTGAACAGAGGGGCATCGCAATGCTGTTGGGAGCATTGCCAGATCAGCTCCGACGAGATCTAGTCAGTGGTCGGCAGCTCTCAGTGGTCCACATCCTGTACCGGTTGCACGTGGCGTACCAGCCAGGAGGAGGGGCCGAAAAAACACAACTCCTCAAAAATTTAGTGGAGACGAGGTTTGCAACAGGAACCTCGGACCTCTTGACACAAGTGAGGTTATGGCGCCGATGGCTGACCCGGGCACAGGAACTTCATCTCTCTCTACCTGACCCTGTGGTTCTCATGGTCACTGTGCAACGCATGATTGACAGCGCCACCAAATCGGGCGGTTCTCAGATGGCATTCAGAATTGCCAACGTGAGGCAAGAACTACGTGTTGATTATGCGGCGACAGTGGAGGCTGTGATGGAGCTGGCAGAGTATGTGCAAGCTGAGGTGGAGGAAGTGTCACTGGTCACACCCATGAAGGTGCAACCGCCGACAGCAACATCAGGAGCCTCAGGAAATCAGCAATCCACGGCGGTGAAGGCAATGGCGACCGCCTTCGGGGAAGCAGACTCGGAGGATAAGACGGCACCCAAGCACCCTTGCCGCTTCTGGAGGACCGATGAAGGTTGCAAGAGGGGCACCAATTGCAGCTATGCGCATGACACCACGGACATGAAGGGTCGCTGCTACAATTGTGGTGAAGCTCACTTCAAGAAGGATTGTCCGAATGGGGGTAAGATGACAAAGCCTGACGCAAAGGATGGAAGAAAGGTTGCGAAGGTGAAGAATTCAAGAGATCCTGAGAGGACCGAGACGGGGGAGAAGCTTGCCCCCGAGACTGGAAAAACAGATGAATCTCGAACTGATGGTGGATCTCCGCCTATCACAAGGAGTGAGCCGGTGGTGGAGAAGACGCAAGGCAAAGATGCGACCGCGGAGTTGCTGACAGAAGCGACATCGTTGTTGAAGGCCTTGAGGACTATGAAGGTGCTGAGGCTGAAGGAATTGAAGCCACAGTGTTTGGACAGCGGTGAGGCTGTAGCTCTCTTGGATGGAGGTGCCACGAATGGACTTCGCCGAGCCCGTCCTCACGAAATGAACAGATTGGTGCCGGTCACTGTGGAGCTGGCGTCGGGGTCGACGACCTTGTTTCGAGTGAAGGAACACAGCACATTGTTGACCAAGGAACAAGTGGAGGTGATTGTTCCCCTGCACCGATTGGTGAAGCTAGGGTACAAGTTGCAATGGACTTCAGCTGGGGTGAAAATCAACCATCCTCAGAGTGGAAGAATTGACTGCACGTTGAGGGGTGGATGTCCAGTGCTTCCGGAGAAGCAGGCCCTCGCTCTTTTGGACGTCATGGAGAAGGAGGATCAGGGTGAGTTAATGCTGGATGCAGAGGTCCGGAGGTGGTGGTCGATGAAGTTCCCGGAAGTTCCACAGGAGGTTTGGGGCTATATGAGGGGGCAAGATCACTACAATCCTGAAGAGTGTCCCTGGAATCGACATCAACGACGTCGGCACGCTC